GCGATCCGTTGCCGGACACGAAAAAAGACAAAAAGGAAAAAAAAAAAAAAAAAGAAAGGATTACAGCTAAAGCAATAAGAAAAATAATGGGCTGTCAAGTATGACAAGCATCATGTTAATATCTGTAANATGGTTTATAAAAATATCGTAGAAAAACTAGTAAAAAGAGGAATAGACTATTTATCAGAACAGTAGATGAATACTAAGTAAAAGATTTAAAAATATAAATATTAAAAATATTTATTAGAAAGGATTAAAGTTAAAGCAATAAGAAAAATAATGGGCTGTCAAGTATGACAAGCATCATGTTAATATCTGTAAAAACAATGAGCTCATTCAAATATATTTTTAAAATTAAAATCCCTAATAGACAAATGGTCAAAGACAGTGACAGATAATTCACACACACACACACACACACACACACACACACAATCTATCTATCTATAGATAAAGGTATCTATCTATATATAAAGGTAAACACAAATATAAGAGAAAGTTGAATCAAAGAACTAAAGCTAAAATGACAAGCCAGAATAGGAAAAGTAAATTAGCAAAAACAAAAACCGTTTAAACAAATAATACTAACTTATGGTAAAAATTGGTAAAAGCAGGTGCCACCTTGAAAACAGGAGTAGCCACTTTGGAAATGAATTTGGCAATATATATCCATAGAAAAAAAATATTTTTATCTTTTGACTCAGCAATCCTACACAGTGAATTTTATCTACAGGAAATAAAAGAAAGAAAAATATAGTATGCCTGAAGGTACGAATTACATCCATATTTATAATAGCAAAAAAAATGCAAGCAACTAAAATAATAGTAACAAAAATATTAAACAAATTATGGTACATATACCACATAGGATATATTATACCATATTTAAAATGTCAGGAGGTATGGGACTCTGAATCTCTATGACATCCATTCCATGAGATGTTATTATGTTAATTCCTCAACATAATATGCCTTCCCCGGTCAAGCTCTATTTCTCACTGTCTCTCAACAAACTTCGCCTATTCTGGCTTCCAAGCTATGAACATGCTCTGGTCCTTTACTTAGAATGTTTTTCCCCTTTTCTCCCTGTCTGGCCAAATCCTGCCCATTATTCCAAGGCCATTCAAAACTCCAGGAATGTGACTTAGTATTTCTATATTTCACTATACTTAAAACAACAGTCATCATTCAGTACACTGCTATTGAATGAATTGATGAAAAATAAATACTAATGACAGCTAATATTCACTGAGGACCTGCAACATGTCAGGAATGTTCTAAGGGCCTTACATGTAACCCATTTAATCCCCACCACTACTATTATTTCCTTCTGAATTCTTATGAGAAGTTATAATTATTTTGTTTACTTATTTATTATATAATTTCTCCCCTCCACGGATTAAAGAATATAATCTTTATCTGTCTTATTCACATAGTAGGTACTTAAAAAATATTTATTGAATAAATCATTAAATGATCAATCATTAGGATTCTGAATTAGTAGTTCAGAATTTACTTTTCCTATTCTGGCTTGTCATTTTAGCTTTACTTCTTTAAAAAATCTTTTGAAAGTCAAAATGATTTACTGTGAGTTAACAACTGACTTACCAACCAGAAATGTTTTAAAAAAAAATAGATCTAATGCATACTGAAATTACTTTATTTTGTAGAAACATAATAAAATTA